CCAAACACTCATTTATATGCAGGAGCTAAATGACCACAAAGACGGAAGTAATAGACACCGAGGACACCCAGAAGGGAAAAGGAAGGGTGGAGAGTTATGGTTCAGAAATGATCTATTAGGTACCTAATATCTCTTGGGTATCTATTGTTCACTATCTATGGAATGGGTGACTTGAGATCCAATCCCCACTACGACACAACATGTCCATGTAACAAACAGGCACTTGTAACCCCTGAATCTAAAATAAAAATAAAATTAAGAAAGGGAGTATTGCATATCCTGTAGAGAGTTATTGTGAGGACTAAATTAGTTCATATATGTAAATAGTTTTGATGCAAGTCTGGCATGAAACGCACAATATGTAGAATTTGCTGTTGTTAGACTGAGACAGAGCTTAGCATCTATTTTATTCCTCTTTTTTATTTTCATACATTAAGTGCTGAAAAGCATTGTTCAAATAAAGAAGTATATGATAAAGAGAAGACTTTTAGTGTATATTTGTCCATATCGATCCTCAAATTTCCAAGTTACATGCAAAAAAAGTATAAATCACATAGTGGTTTATCATCAACAAGTATATATATATATATATATATATATATATATATATATATATTTAATGCAAGGTTCACAACTTAATAGGAATAACTTTCTGTTTTGTTGAAAGCAAAAAATTGGAAATATCTGTCTTTCAAAATGTTTCTGGAGTGAAAGTCATTTACGGTTTCAATTTCTGGGAAGAATGCTATCAAAGGCTTTACTAGACTTAGCAAATAGCTTTTAGAACTGTTACTCTGTACAATTTCCAAATTTAACTCAGTATTCTCAGAAAGGGTGGGGGAAATAAAAATATTGGATACATTTCTCTGCAACATCTTGACCAATACAATTTTTAATCAGCTTGATTACAATAAAATTTAGATAGAATAAGATCCATCCATTTTAAATGTGTGAATTTTGAAAAATGTATAAAGTTGTATAGCTACCATTAAATTTACCATCATTTCCATTACCCTGAAATGTCCCCTCATGCCTTTTTGCAGGAATTTCTTTCCCAGATTCCTGGCCTCTGATTGACTTTCTGTTACTGTTGTTTTATTGCTGGTAGCGTTGGGTAAATACCTGGGAGAGAGATTGCTAGGTTATATGGTTGGTGTGTGTTCAACTTTATAATAAGCCACAGAGTGTTTTTGAAAGTGTTTGTACCACCAGACACCCATGAGAATTTTCATTTTAACTACCTATTGGCCATGCATTGGTACTTTAATGTGACTTTAATTTGCCTTTATCTAACTATTCTCTAGTATTGAGCATCTTTTCATGTACTTATTTGCCATTGCCATTGCTTATTTGCTTTTTTGTCAATTTTTGCTTAAATGTTTACTCAAATTCATTTGCCCATTTAAAAGGTTGATTGCTTGACTTCTTATTGTTGAGTTTTATGAATTCTTTAGATATTTTAGATCCATTATTTTAGGATGTGCTTTTTTATGTTATTATATGTTTTAAATATATTTCTTAAATCCTGGAGTTGCAGATTGAGTGCATCTAATTTATGAAAAATGTCCTTCATATTTGCTAACTGGGAAAACAAAAGCCCTTACTAGTCAGTCAGTCAAGTCAGATGTTCTTCCTGTCAGGAAAATAATTTCTGGTTTTGTTTTTCATTTTTAACAATATATTAATGTGGGCCCCTGTGTTGACCATATCACATCCGAATTCCAATTTAAGACAGCTAGATAAGGCTCAGATATTTGCCATAGTTTGGTATCTCTTAGAGGAAAAAACCCACAAGTCCTCTTTCAATGATTCTAACCAAAACTTCTTCTTCTTCTTTTTATTTTTTTGCTCTCACAGAATTATCCCCAAAGCTGACTTTTTTTTGGGGGGGGGGGGTGGTAAATTTTTGGCATGGAAGTGCTGTTATGTTAAAAGAAAATTATCTTCACTCTAACCCCACAGTGTAGTATTTCTATTATTTTTATATTCAAAATGTTCTGACACAGGCACAGATACTTCATTTCCAAGTTCTCAAATAAGTATACAACTGAAAAAGATAAGAAACTTTCTTAGATATCAATATCTTGAATTATTTGGTGCTAAAAAGTTTTCCACACTGGACCCATGCACCTTAGTAAGATTAGGCTTGAGAATAAGGTTTTGCTTTTTCCAAGGTAAAGATCCTGGCCATGAAAGAGAAATTAGAAACAAAAAACCCAGGACAACATAAGTACTGAGCATTTCTGACAGGGCAGTTTTGCCAAGGCATACATTGGGAAGTTGAAGAAACAGAGACTGATTCCCTATGCCTGCATGCTCCTTGGACAATTTCGTGAGTATTCCCATGGGTACCCATACCACAGTATGAAGACTCTTGTTCTAAACTTCTGTGGGTTTTAAAATGGTGAAGGATTGAAAAGCAATGGGATGTCAAATCTTCCAAGGGAGATAAATTGTTTACTACTGGGAAAGATTGAGAGTTTTCTAGATGGAAAACAGAATGATGTCTTTGAGGAGTCAAATGAGCTTGAATTTCTTCATATTTCATTTAAGAGAGATTTAATGCATGAGCAACATAATTAAAGTATCTCTCCCCTTATATATGTATATCTATATTTACCATATACACACACACATACATACCACCATTTTATGGAAGGTGGTGGCTTTATTTAAAAGGGTGTTAAACTTATGTATTATTTTAAACCAGCTATCATCATCAAATTGTTTTTAAGAGTCTTTGATTAAGGCTCCTCCTGCGTGATTTTATTGGGAAAAACCCCAATTAGTATCAGTGGGAGAACTAATTGTTAGAGTGTTTAATGAAGTGTATTTTTCAGGCACTTTTCAAAAAATGATACAATATCTGCGAAACTCCACCTTAGGTCTATCTCTAGAATTGAACAGTGAGGAAGTCTTGACAGTAGTTATAAAGACTCAACTAGACCAAACATTACAAAAATTATTTTCATTTATGCAAGACTTTAAAATAAAATATTCATTTAATATGATGCTCACAGAAGTAATAAAATACATAATTTAATCAGCTTTTCAAACTCATTTAAAAATAGAGAGTTGTCATTTTAGAAAGCTCAGCTATTTTTCTTCTCTCTAGCACAATGGGGGAAAAAACAGTTCACAAGATACCATATCAAGAAAGTCAAGTTCTGTCTCACGCACATATCTTAATCAGCAGGGAGGAAAAACCTGCTTGTAGCAGCTGCTGGCATCTGGGCCCTTGACTTTGGATATGTTGAAATTATAGTATGAATTCACAGAGTGCCTTTAGTGCACCTGTCTGTTTTTTCGTTGATGAGAAAAGTATAGGTGTTACTTTACCACTAGACTGAAAGTCTTCCTTTATCACCATTAGAACCATATTCTTTGACACTCCCTAAGAAGAGAATCTGTAGCCCTCTCCCCTACTATGTATTTTAAATATTTGGTACATTTTAGTATATTCGTATATTTGATGGAAAACCATGGAGGTCTTATTCCATTATAAATAGAAACCTTATATAAAAAGATAAATGCTGCAACTGTTAAAAGCAGAATTCCCCCATCCCTCAACGGGAAGAGAGAAGTTGATTCCCGTTCCTGTAATGCTTTGGTGTACCAGGAGAATCTGAACTCAGAATGTCCAAATGCAAAATGCCCTTTGGAGCCAAAAATCTTTGAAAGGTGGTGAAAATATCCAAATGTAAAAATAGAACGAAACCACTAAAGATTGGCTTAAGATTGTGCATGCATCTTGCTGCAGAATGAGGAATAGAAACTTAAATTAGGTCTCATAACTGAGAACCCAATGCTTGACCAGCTGTTTGCCTCAGGCAGACATCAAACTCTGCTGTCATTTGCCAAATCCTCCTTGCTTCCTCTGGTTACACCTTCTTACTGCATCCAAAGAACTCAACTGACTGGCAAGGCCCTTCCCAAATCAGGGCCTGGATGTCTTCTTCTTCAAATACTGTTTAATACTCACTTTCAGATCCCTCCCTGACTTGATTCTTCTCATAGCTACTTACTAATTAACTCTAGTTCAACATTTCAATGGGCTTTCTCTTATTTGTGCTTTTCTATGTATTTCATATTGTCTCCCCACTGAAATAATTCATCCATGAGAGTTATGGTGTTTCTACCAACACGTCCACTATCTTTGCAGATCCCACCATCTTCCTGCTCATGGTACCTCCTGTGAGTGTTTCATATGAATTGAATTGCTGTCATTTAGTCATGTGGATCCTGCCTCACACACATCAAACCTTGAGCAAACCTTGAGAAAGTTCCTTTACACGGCTTGAAGAGCTCTGTGCCAAATTCAAACCATTTAAAAGAATTCTTTTTTTCCTCAAAAGATCTAGCAGGCATCATTGGACCCTGAGGTAGAGCAAAAGATGTATAATATTCATGATGAATGAAGAACCTGATTCCAATTTGATTATTGAATTCTACTTGTTTATAATTTTCTCTCATTTTTACTTTTAGACAGTCACTGGAGAAGGCTATTTAAAAAAATACAAAAGCCAGATATCTTCCATGTTATATACAAAGTTATATAAATAAATAGGTCGAAAGTCTTTCAAAAGAATGATTAAAATGTCAGTAGAAGATGTTCACATGAATCTTTTTACAATCATAAATACTGATTACTACAACAATAATTTATTGCATCTACTTTAACATATAAAAAGTCAGGTCCTCACCTCTAGGTTATGAGATTCTGCATAGGAACTCAGTTTTGCCATCACACGTTTCTCGTTTTCAGGGTTGCCCATGTCAGGTTCAGTCAGAGCATATTTTAGGAAAATATTTTGAGGACCGTATATCTATATGTGCATATATACATATATGTCATAACATTTGTCATTTTAAAGTATTGGCCAACCAGTCAATACTGAAGCCAATATGTGAATTCAATTGCAATTTTCAGTTTAACTTTCTCCTGCCAACTAGCCCATGAAAATAAACAATTAAATACAGTTATAGTCTAAGAATGTTCTTTAAAATTCTTCTTTTTGGTTCACTTGGTGTCTAATTTCATCTGGTTGAAATCCACCATTCATCTTATGGATTGATGACTCGGGCTCTGTCTGGTTGTCTTTGTCTTCTGTCACTTCTATGTTATTTTTTCCATAATATTTCTTGTACACCCAATACACTAGAGAACAATACACAAGAAGTTAGTACATTTTATAATAAAGAGCTGCAAAATAACTTTGGATAGTGATTACAATCGATGACTCCCACAACAGTTCACATCATCTGTAGACGGCAGGCTGCTTCGAGAAAACAATCGCCATTCTTAGTTTTGTGACCACTTGTGGCGAGAGGGATGGCTGCACTTTAGGAAGACCTAGAAGAAAACTTCAGGGGATATTTGTTCAGGGCAGCCACAAGACTTCTTCAGGCATTCAGCCTTGCATGTGGTAATCAACAATAATAAGAGCAACAAGAAGAATTTATTCCGTACCACCGTATCTCAGTTCATGGGCTAGTCCTAATAAACGTACTACATGCTGCAATGCAATGTCCAGAACTTTGGTCCAGGGGTTATTTGGGGAAGGACTTGAACTGGAATAGCATTCTGTTCTTGCCCTGACCTCACTCAGTCTTTCCTGCAGGGGGAAGAGTCTTGGTTGATTGGTGACCAACCTTTCTCTCTTCCGTGGAACTGCTAGTCTCTGGTAGCAATTGTTTCTCAGTTTATTTCTGAGGTCAGCTCACCAGGATCAGCTCTTCCTTGTAAGGCAAAACCTGCAGTTTATGTCCTTGTAAGTGATTACATGTCTACACATGTGTGAGGCACTGGGGGGAGAGGTGGTACCACCCAGCCTATTTGGTCACAGATTCAAGCTGTGTTTTAATTAGCTTAATCTGTAATAAAAGTGCTATTTTGTTATCTGTATGTCTGATTTTTTCTTCTACCGCTCAGTTGGTTACAAAGTCAACAGGAGATCAGAAGGTGCTATTTATTGGACCCCTCAAATTCTAATACCTCCCATATAAAATTGCTATAATAATATTATCCACCTCCTAGAGCAGTTGTGAACATTAAATGAGATAAAATTAAGTGCGCAGCATGGCTTGTGAAGAATAGTAAGTGCTCGATAAATGTTAACTTTCATTATGATACACAGCTGAGAGAGACAATGTCCTGCTTCAAATATCTTATTAAGCCTAAATCAATATCTCCTCTAGATTGGTCCCTGCACTTCTAGCAATATATTATTTTCAAAGCCACTGAACCATACCATTGGATTTAATTGAGCTTGTGGTCAGTTTAAAGATCCAACAATTATTACAACTGTTTTGAACTGGGACTCCCTCAATTCATGCCAATGATTTTATTTAACCAAACTTTACATCTTATTTATCCCTTTTTCTCTTTCTTCTTCCTCTTTCCCTTCCTCCTTCCTTCCTTCCTTCTTTCCTTTCTTCCTTTCTCCCTTCCCTTTTCCCCTTTTTCCTTCCTTTCTTTCCATGTTCCCCAAAATATTTGGGCTTCTAATCCTATCATCAAAGAATGTTTCTAGGCATTGTGTATACTTAATCAAGATTTCTTCTTATTTTCATAATTACTGATAAAATTGTGGGAAAGTACAGGACCAATTCTAGTGTTCCCCTTTTTCATTCCTTCAACTTGATTTCCTACCAATCGATCTCATTTGTGTTAGTTGTTCAGTTAGTACGTTTACTTAATTGTACTATCAACCTGTCTACCCTCCATGGCTTGTATAATAAACATCACTAAGTCATCCTCACTAAGGAACTGACATCACTAGACAATGAAACAAGGCTATTATACAAGAGAACAAGGCTATTGGCCTGGACTCCTGTCTCCTGGATCAGGGCTAAATCAGTGAGATGTTTTCAGTGGATCCAGAACATCCTATTCTAGAAAGGAAGCCTCTGGTTTGGGAATACATTCAAGAAAGTAGCGGCAGAGAATGATTAACACCTGCAGGCAAATTGAATTCCTAATGGAACTAAGCAGAAGAGTCAAAACCAAACAAAAACAGTATCTCCAGGCATTTTATAACTTAACGTTCACATGATAAATATTGTGCGCCTTTACATTCCTCACGGAAATGCCACAAAACTTCAAAAAACAGCTTATTTATTTAGAAAATGGAATTTAAAAAATAGAGGTTAAATATCAGTCCTTGAAAAGGAAAAATGTAGGTGAAAACCAGCAGGTGGCGAAGCCTGATGGGAGAAGGTAAAAGCTTTATGTTACAGTAGAGAATCCTGCAAACTACACCTGGTACTTTGAATAAAGAACATTTTGGCTTCAACTGCCTCGATTATATGAGTACTAGAAAAGCATATATGAAGGGGGATCCAAAAAAACCTGGACTTTTTACAATAAAACATTGTATATTTATTCTTACATGCTTAAACTTCAGTCACCTTTAAAGTACTCTCCATTTGACGCAATAGCCTATCGAGATGCTCGTTCCTCAAAACAGTGTTTTGAACTCGTCAATTGTGATGCCTTTTAGCGCGTCTGCCTTTTTTGTTTCACCTCTTCCACATTGGCAAAACATTTCCTTTTGAGAACTTTTTTCATCAGGGGAAACAAGAAAAGTTGCTCAAGGCGAGATTGGGTGAATAGGGAGGATGGGGTGCGGTAATTCTGTTTTTGGTCAAAAACTGCTGAACACTCAGTGTGGTGTGGGCAGATGTGCTCATAAATCACCTGTCATGAAATGGGCAAAGGCGTTGAAAGAATCTAAAAAAAAAAAAAATTCACGGAAGCTGAATGTAGCTTCTCACAACAATACTAGCTGGCCAACTGATGCCAGTAGGTTTCTAGAACATTTTCCTAGGGGGAAGCCTGTCCTACAAGGGATCTACCTGACAAAAAAATGTATACACATTTTAAGAGATGCTTGCCATAATCAGAAGTGTCTGGATACTGATGGACCACTTTTTAAATATCGTTTTATATATAACAATTTTAATATAGTTTTTCCTTTCTTAAAACACGTATATGTTTCTCTCTCTCTCTCTCTCTCTCCCCCCACAAATGTACATAGCCACATCTGCCTTAAAGTTTGGTCAAATAAATATTCTTTGTAAACCAATTTTGTGATAAATATTCACAAAGCATATCAAGACAATTTTTTTTTTAAATCAAAGCCTGAGTTCCTGGAAGCATGTATGAAGACACGCTAAAATGATCCTAACAGGTTAATCTGCTTTCCTAATTATGGAGGGAAAAAAAATATCAATGGAGAAAACTGACCTCCATTACTTTTCACTTAAAAATAATCTTTACTAGAAACTTGTGGATAAAATTACAATAGTTTCATCAGCAATTGCGAAGTCATGATACTATGATGGGTGGCTTTTTTATGTGTAACATTCACTTCCAGGGATAGGGAACTAACAAAAAAAGAAAAACAAATGCACCGTTTTAGCAATGTCAGGACTTCTCAAAGACCATCATAATGAAATGCGATTAGCAGGATTCCTTACATGCTAAGAAGATTGCTGCAAAGATGAGCTGAAAGATGCTGTAGATGAGAGGGAAGGTGAACACGTAATTAAGCTCCTCAGGAGTGAAGGACAGCTGGACGATGGTTGAACACAACTGAGTATTCTGCATTCCTGTTTCAAAACCGACGGTTCGGCACCTGAAAGCAATGCCAAGAGAATGCATATTTCACTTGTCTTGTTTTCATGTAACATTAAAAGCAGACATAATAAGAAAGAGTATATATACATACATTTTGTTTCTGCTTTTAATGTATATATTTGATAGACGTTTATTCAACATATAGGTTTCTACTGAATAAATGTATTACTTATTCATGTATATTATATAACATAATAAATTATATAACATAAATAAGTATATTTGCTATGTACATATATGAGGAGAAAGCTCCTTTTATCATAATGTTCTGTAAGTGGCAAAGAGGATTCCCGTCACCCCTTTTAATTATGCCCTGGGTAACAGTGCAGATCACAGAGCAGGGCCTTAGAAAATATTGGAGGTACAGTATTGCTTATAGTTGTTTGCTCAATTTTTGTTTTGTTCTGATTAAATATTGATTAAAAAAATCTATAGAGCAGAAATTATTGTTCCCATTCCACGGATAAGAACACTCAGAGAAAGAGAAAGTGCCTGGCCTGAGGTCTCCAGGGGGTACATGGTAGGGTTGGAAGGCAAGACCAGGTCTGTCTGAATCAAATGCTGGCCTCTTACTACCACCACTACTGCTTGTGTCTTTCTTAACCTCATCCTTGCACCAGTGTCTACACCTACTTTTCTCTCCGTCTGCTGACCTAGATGGATTAGCAAAAGAGGAAATGTTTTTACCCAGAGCCAAACCCATAAATGCTAAGCCTATTCTAATATCCAGGGCCTTTGAATGATGAGTTCGTCCTGTTGCTGACTGGAGGAACCCTCGTCTATTACACAAGTCAATCTAGGCTGGGCGTGGTGGGTCAGCCTGTCATTCCAGCACTTTGGGAGGTCGAGGCGAGTGGATTGCCTGAGTCTGTGGGTTCGAGCTCAGCAACTTGGCGAGACCTCATCTCTACAATAAATAAAAAATTAGCCGGGAGTGGTAGCGCACGCCTGTGGTTCCTGCCACTTGGAAGGTTGAGGCGGCAGGATTGCCAGAGCCCAGCAGGTCGACGCTGGGGTGGCCATGAGTGTGCCAGGGAACTCCAGCCTGTGTGACAGAGTGAGACTCCAACGCAAAACAAACAAACAAAACAAAGTCAAAAGTCAATCTAACTGCTTTTGTGAAAGTCACTCTGCCCCAAGAGTAAGAATACCTAACAATGGAAGGGCCCAAACTGGTGCTGTATGAGGAATGTTCCAGAAGAATTTGAGCAAAGAAGAGTCAGTCAGTATTTTCATTCTGTTAACTTGCATAATTTATGGAAGAATGAGTCTATTTGGAATGACATGTTTAGAAATAGGAAGAATGTGATTTAAGGGGAAGAATTTTCTTTTAATCTTGTCATCAGTATTTACAGTTGTTATGAGTTGATTATGTCCTTCTCTCTCCGAAATTCACGTGTTGAGGTCCTAATCCTCAGTACTTCAGAATGCAGCCTGAAGTGGAAATATGGCCACTGAAGATATAATTGGTTCAGAGGAGGTCATTATGGAGAGTTCTAATCCATTATGAGTGGTGTGCTTATCAAAAAGGGAGAAATTTGGGCACAGAGAAATGCACAGAGGGAAGATAATGTAGAGAGACATAGGAAGAAGACAGCCACCTACAAGCCAAGGAGAGAGAAGCCTGGTACAGATCCCTCCCTCACAGCCCTCAGAATGAACCAGTCCTGTAACACCTTACTTCTAGTCTCTGAAACAGAGATGATAAATGCCTGTGATCTAAGGCACTCCATTTGGGGCACTGCTATGGTAGCTCTAGCAAGCTAATGCAACAGATATTACAAACGAAATTTCCCATTTTGATTTACCCGAACACCATACCTGTGCCAGGACTGACCAGCTATTCTAGCCAGAAGAAACCCCAGGGAGTAACCGGCCACAGGAAATATTGTCCCTATAATCCACAGTTTGGGAGAGATGATCCAGGCACTTTGGTACAATATTCCTCCAACCACGGCTATTAGCACGATGAGGACTGCACCCGCGATGGATCCAATCTGGAAAAAGGGCACAAGTGAACCCAGCAATCGTGTGTCAAAGCAAATCCAAATATGTTTGTCAGAGACAAAGACCCACAGTCTCCTTTCCCCTGGAGAGAGTCATGATAAAGTTATCTCTGTAAGTACTTCTAGCCTGAAATCCATAATCAGCCCACTGGAAATCCTGGTGATTATCTTTAATCTTTTTTTTTTTTTTTTTTTTTTAAGAGAGACCAAGTCTCATTCTGTTACTCAGGCTAGAGCACAGTGGTGCAATCACAGCTCACTGCAACTTCAAATTCCTGGGGTCAAGTGATTCTCCCACCTCAGTAGGTGAGACTCTAGGCACAGGCCATGACCTCCAGCTCATTTTGATTTTTTGGTAGAGTTGGGGTCTTTTGTTGCCCAGGCTCTATGCTTTAATCTTTAAGCACAACAAGACATGTAGCATTCATGCACAATTACCCTAGAGACTTTCTAGCTTGCAAATTGTCCTGTTAGAGAGGAAGAAAACTCACTACAATAAGAGCCTGGAAGAGTTGGTTGTCAGATTCATCTTCTATTCTGCCTCCTTTGGTAAATCATGAAGCCTTCTGAATCTTTGTTTCTTCATTTGTAACTGGGGATAAAAGCTTGTCCCAGTCACCTTTTATGATTGTTATGATAAAAAGAATATGGATGTAAAACTCTCTAAAACTTATATTAAAAAAGCCATATGCAAATATAAGCCACTGTTGTTCTTCTTTTCACATTAAAAAATTTGCAGATTTTCCCACTTTTTTTTTGGTCCAGAGAATCAGGGAATACCAATGGACTTATTTTGCCCCCCGAGCAGCAGAATCTATCTATATCCATATCAACTACCTAGAATAAAGTTGGTGAAGGGGAGCGAATGAATGTATACACATATATATTCTACCAATAGTCAGGCACTGAACTGGCCATATGGATACAGAGATAAGATAGCCATCTCCATATATTTTATAACCCAAACTCATATTACAGAGATCACAGTGATGTGTTGTGAGGACAGAAAGGAGTGAGTGAAATCATGAGGTGATGTTTCTGCTGAGTGTCCCAAAGGGTGGATACAAATTTGCCCCATGGTTTACATCTTTAATTCCAGTACTTTGGGAGGCCAAGGCAGGACGATTGCTTGGGTCCAGGAGTTCAAGACCAGATTGGACAACACATCGGGACCTCATCTCTACACAAAATAAAAACAATTTAGCCAGCGTTGGTGGCTTGCGCCTTGTAGGAGGATGAGGCTGGAGGATCACTTGAGCCCACGAGTTTGAGGTTGCAGTGAGCCGTGAGCATGCTAATGCACTCCAGTCTAGGTGACAGAGGGAGACCCAGACTAAAAAATAAATAAATGGGGTGGGGGAGTGTGAGAGAGAGAGAGAGAGAGAAAGAAATTTGTCCCATGGATGGGACAAGGATGGGCTTTCTAGAATAGACTGCATGACAAGTAACTTCAGCCATATATGGTTTACCCTAAAAGGTAATCATGTATGAGAATAAAACCAATACAATGAATGAAAAGACGGTATTATTTCTATTTTAACTGGGGAGTATTTAACTGTGCAGTCCATAGCCTGGGATACTTACTTTAAGTATGATCTTCGCTTTTTGAGGCCATTTGTGATTAACAAACATTCCAACGGAAACAGGAATTACAAGGGCGACCAAAGAAGTACCTGAAGATGACAGTGGAGAGAGATGATCAATCGCATATACAATGCAGGAAAGAGGAAAATGAAAGCATCAATAGCCTGGAAAAGACCGAGTCAGTATTTCAGTCTCCTTTTTTGAATACACAGAACAGACTACAGAATTACACACACACACACACACACACACACACACACACACACACACACACACACACACACACACCCCTTGACCCATTCCAGTAAATAACTTAATATCATCGGTAGAGAACTGACAATATTAGTGCTATAAACTTTTCCCTAAATTCTGGGGTAATTTTTAATAGTTTTTTTTTTAGACTACCAATAGACTTTAGCTTCAATTTGTCAGAATCTTGGCTTCTTTGTTCTTGAGATAATTTTATCCTTGGAAAAGCATACCTTGGTCAAGTTTGTGTGTGTGTCTATGTGTGTGTACTTGGGGTGTACCTAGATGATATTTTATATCTGTCTGTCACTTCTTTGTATTAGAAATAAAAGAAATATTTCAAAATATTTTAAAAGAAAGTAAAATTCTCAAAATTAGCTCAAGATGCTCAGATATTCTGATGACTCATGACTTCTGTTAAAACTAACTCTGCTTATTCAAATCTGCAGGAGAGAGGTGAGAGAATTAGGTTGAAAAGGCACGCTTTAAATTTTCCAAGAGATAATATATTTGGCAACCTCTTGTGTAGTTATAATTCTTTGCAGCAACACGCTCACCCAGCCAGATAAAAGAGTTGTACTTCAATTTCACTATGTTAAATTTACTGCTGTTCTTGTGACATATGGTTTGTTTCTCCATATTATTTGACACTCATTTGTCCAATAGCTGCTTTTACATAATGCAACTCTGACAACATCTGACTTCTCATGGGTTGTTTCTTTTTCAAGCATCCTTTTAAAGCAGTATGAGAAATTGGAATTGAACAATGATATTCTGAGAGTGGCTGTTGCTTGGTATTGTGGTAGATTGAACTAGGGTTTGAAAACAGATTCTAGATTTCATGGTTGCAGATGTGAATTAAAAATGGACATAATAATGATGAAAACATAATTTCTTTGTAGACTTTTACCTTTGCTGTTAATATAGGGGTCAATGATTACTTTTGCTGAGTAATTACTTAAGCAGACTTAAGCAACATCTTAAGGTACTAAGAGTAGAAAAAAATCGATAGGAGAGAGTAAGAAGAAAATAATGAAATAAAGGATGTGGAAAAGAGACTTGGTTATGTGTACTGGTAAGATTCCCCTCCCCCAAATCCTCTTTGGATATCCCTGTATCCTGCTACTTTGGGAGGAGACTAACTTTTGGTCATATATTTGGGTCTGTTTGGCTCTCTGGCTTAGAGGTCTTGTCTCTTTCAGGCAGCCCAAGACAACAGGATAAACACACCAGCAGGACTACCTACCAAAGCCCTTGGCGGAATTGCTTCTCCTCTCCTGATCAGATGGAGTCTTTCAGGGACTTGAAGTCCCCTGGAAAGGATACTCTTTGCTCTCTCTGCTGTCCTTCACATCCACAGTGTATGGCTGCTGCCTGGAGAGGTGGATGCTGTGACTCTTTGCTCTCCAGTGGGCCAGGGATGTTGTTCTTTTCTTTCCCCAGGCTCCATTTTACTCATTTCTTTATTTTTACGTTTTTAGTTATTTCTTGTATGCCCATGCTCTCTGTGTAAAATGACTATCTATGTAGATGAAAAAGATCTGCTCACAGTTATACCTTTATACACTTGGTCTTTTTTTTTTTTTTTTTTGAGTTTAGGTCTTACTCTTTTGCCCAGACTAGAGCGCATTGGCATGACCATGGCTCACCACAGCCTCCAACTCCTGGTCTCAGACAATCCTTCCACCTCAGCCTCCCGAGTAACTAATTCTATAGGCGCATGCCACCACACCCAGCTAATTTTTAAAATATTTTGTAGAGATGATGTCTCAGGATGTTGCCTAGGCTGGTCTCAAACTCCTGGGCTCAAGCAATCCTCCTGCCTCGGTCTCCCAAAGTTCTGAGATTAAAGACATGAGTCACTGTGCCCTGCTGATAACTTGGTGTTCAATCAAGATCACACAGCAGGTACTGAAGGAAAGACAGGCAGCAAGGAAATGAGAACGGACGAGTGGTAAATGGATTCATGTGGTGGAACTGGGAGCTAGATGAACCTCAATTTATTTATTTATAAAGTGATGATAACATCTTGTGAAGCAGTCAGCTCACTTGTTTTCTATACTAGAGGACTAGAAACACCAACAGCAAAAAGGTTAGGTTGGATAATAGGCCTGAGCAAACATTATGGTGAGCAAAGTTAATATCTCTGTTTTAAAAACTCTTTTCTTTTACCCTCTTTACCTTTCGCTTATCTTCTCTCCCCTTTTTCTCTTCCCTCTTGAACTCTTTTATGATGACTGTTTCTTCCTTGGAGGTGCGAATTTGTTTCTTATTTTCTCCTTCTTTCAAAATGTATTCACATTAAAGGATATGGCATAAGTCATTCACACTGCAGTCAGAACTACTCAACATTCCCATGGAGGCATTTTACAGAAGAAAATGAATATCAAGAGAGAATATTTTTAAAGTTTAAATTATTTTCTTAAACTGTGAGTAATGTGGAATAAAAACTCCTCACTCAAAAGGCAGGTTCTTTGAGAGGCCTACAATGTTTACCACTCAAATAAGCTGTATTCTTTGTTTTTTTTTTTTAACTTGAAGGAAGATGTCTATTGAGAAAGAAGCCAGAGAGTTAAACAGCATGAGGAATAGGAAGGTGGTCATGGAGGGTCACCCTATGACCTGTTTTTGTGCATGATATAAAGGAATTCCACAGGGGACAGAACAAAAATCTTGTATGGGAAAAAACCCCAAACAAACAAAACATACTGAATAGGGTGTGTCAGGAAGGACTTTTTTTTTTTTTTTGGTCTAATGGTCATGGTAGGGGTAGGGAGAGAGAAGAGGTTATCTGAAAATATTACAATACATATCATCCCCAATTAGTGTTCACAAAGTTTGTACTAACTCATTTGTATAGACCCTCAGTGTACATGTTTATTCACAGAAACAATCCTAGGAATGTAAGGAGTTTTAGTACAGCTGCCTACCTCAACAGGAATTCCTTTCACAAACATCCCGATGGGTCACCATTTGGTTTTTGCTAATATGATTCCTTCAGTGAGTTAACCATGTCTTTTTGAGATAGCTCATGAGCATTTGTTTTCAAGGTTGGTGAGGAAAAAAGTCTACTTAGCCCGTGATATATCTGGTGATTGATATGGATGTAATATTTCACCTACTCCTCACCTTTTATTTTGATACTTCTAGGGGAAATGCCTGCTTTTGGTATGCCAGGGACTATCTTGTTCTTCCCTGGACCCTCACTCATCTCTATGTTATACCAATAACCTGATCTCCCACCACCATTTATTTTCCCTGAAACAGAGAAGAAGCTTTCTTGGGATTGAGGTGAACATCTGCGAGCTGAAATGAGTGAGAGTCATAATTAGCAAGTTTGACTTCTGAGGCATTTTATTTCTTAGTCTTTTGAATCAGGGTCTCACTCTGTCTCCCAGGCTGGAGTGCAGTGGCAGGATCATGGTTCACTTCAGCCTCAACTTTCTGGGCTCAGGCAATCGTTTCGCCTCAGCTTCCTGAGGAGCTGGGACTCCAGGTGTGCCATCATACCTGGTTAACTTTTTGATTTTTTGTAGAGACGAGATCTCGCCATTTTCCCCCTGATCTTGAATGGCTGGGTTCAAGCAATCCTCTCACCTCGCTCCAAGTAGCTGGAACTACATGGCATGTGCCACCATGCCTGGTTCATTTTTAAAAATTTTTGTAGAGACTAGGTCTTGCTATGTTGCCTAGGTGCTGTCTAGGCTGGGCTCCATCTCCGGGCTCAAGCAATCCTCTCACCTTGGCCTCTCAAAGTGCTTGGATTATAGGTATAAGCCACCATGCCCAGCCTAAATCAATTTTTGAATCAAGTGTCACAAATAATATGTTTCATCTGGTAGTTTCCTATTGTGACACTCATGATCATGTATTATGTGCTCTATTTTGAAGTCATCAAATAATTTTTTTGCGTGTCTTTTCAATTTGGGTGTCAGGTTGCAAACTCCTATGACCATGGACTAGTTGCACTTTGGGTTAAGGAAAAAGTGGGAACCCTCACACAACTGTAGCTGAAGCCTCCTCAGTTCAGACTGCTGGGATGGGGAGAAGGCTCCTCTCCCTGGTGATTTGGATTATGGAAAACGCGGGTTCTCCCATGGGGTCAAGGTTTGAAATGTATGTTCTGCCAACACTCATCCAAACACAGGGGCAACTTAATAAAGAAATTCTAATTGGGCAAAAATAATCACTAGTGTAAGAGGCAGAGAATGAATGGATTTGAGCTTGGTCTGAGTACCTAGTGGGGCATTAGCAGAGAGTTCAAGGTCATATTCAACAGTCTTGCAGAGGAACAACTTACCTATATTATCATAGGGGATTACGATGGTCCCAGCGTCGACCCACATTTTGGTATAGATAAGGAGACACAATGGCATCATTCCGAGGGCAAGTAACGTGGAACATGTGGTCATGCTGACACTGAAAGGAAACGGGCAGGTTATGACCACCTGTATTTTCTAGGGGAGAGGCTGATTTATTTTCAATCTGCAGTTAGAATTTCCTGCAAGAGGCTGTTTCAACCAGCAGCAGCATTTGGTGTGATTGATAGAAATATACAGGTGCCCAAGTTTGTGCAGAGCCTGGACTTGGGCAAAATGTGTCTTTCTCATTTGCCGTTTGCCATCTTTTCCTTGACATTTGTTCTCAAAGATCAGAGAAGGTGTTTAATGATGGTTTAAACTCATTATTAAACAAGGGACAAAGTGCCTAGATATGCCACGCCTCAAACATCCAATCAGAGAACGGCAAACACAGTTACACCAGCCAGGACCACGGGTCGGGGGCTTCTTGTGTTTGACCATGCTGGTCTCAGATGAGCCTCCCTGGACTCCTGGAATAAAATGCATGTCTGGGGAAAGATGTGTCTTGCTGTAGAGCAGAGAAATTACTGCCTAAGTGGCTGTAGCTTGAGAAAAGAAGAGGAAACTGACTAGAAAAATAATAGAAAGCATGCAAGCCAGGCAGGGCAGGCCTAAATTTTTAGGACTGAGTAAGTCATTGACAGTTTACCAAATGTGTGTTTGGAAGAACCAGGGTCTGGTGTCATTTCTCCTCAGAGCATGTGTATCTTAGTAAGTGGGTCTGGCTAAATAAGTGAATTTTGGCTTTTGGCATGGAGGTATTAATAACAAGTGATATTATTTACAGAAGGAAGAGAGATTTGTGGGTAGTGAGTCTTTCTGAATCCCTTCAAAATGTCCTGTACACAGGGCACATTATCTGCCTTTAATACCTAGGCTTTTAAGCCCCCACACTGTCTAGATTGAAAGCCAGCAGCCGGGCTTGGTGGCTCAGTCTGTAATCCCGTGCTTTGGGAGGCTGAGGTGAGTGGATTGCCTGAGCCTGCGGGTTTGAGACCCACCCGGGCAACTTGGGGAGACCTCATCTCTACAATAAATAAAAAATTAGCCAGGCATGGTGGCATGTGCCTGTAGTTCCAGCTACTTGGAAGGCTGAGGCAGAAGGATCACTGGAGCCCAGCAGGTGGAGGCTGCGGTGGCTGGGAGCGGCCACTGCACTCCAGTCTGGGCGACAGAGTGAGACTCCAACTCAAAAAAAAAAAAAAAAAAAGAAAGCAGGCAGTGCCACTTAGTGTGTGATTTTGGGTAATCTATTTAATTTTTTTGGCCAGTTTTCTTATCTAACATGAAGATTATAATCATTGTTACCTCATAGGCTGTAAGAATGAAATGAGTCGATGGTGTCCAGTATATAGAACAATGCAATACACTCATCAAGAACCAGTTACAATTGTTATTTACATAGCCATAAGAGGTGTAGTTTATACTTTACCAAATAAAATCAGGAAACTTAGAGCAATTTTTTTCTGAAAGACCTTTTCGCTAATAGCTATAGCTTTGTGAGGTTTAGAATGATAATGTAAGGGTAATATATGTGTCCTTGAAGAAAAGTACTAAAGATTCATGCCACTTCCCAGCCCCCCACAAACAACAACTCTCCACTATGCTAAGGGAAATAGCTGAGGGTGAGACATTTAGTTTTTAGTGCATGTAGACAAATGCACAGTTTTTGCAAAATAAATGGTGGGGCAAAATCTATTGGGAGCTTTAAATTCCCTAATGATAATTTTTTTAAACCAGAAATGACCTCACTTAAAATGGATTTAAAGGATTTAGATAAAAATACTTGTTTTAGTAGAGCTAAAATAGTATAACAATAACCAACGCTAGCGTTATATTTTAAACACTAAGAAATTTAATCTATTCTGGTCATAGGTTAACTTAATTTAGGTACAAAACAAGATGCTGAGGTAGATTCCTACACCAGAAAAAATATGTTAATTTGTTATTAATAGTACTTTGTCCTACTTAGAACTAAAGTACTGGTGTTTGAAGGTGATATATTTCCTCTCTCTCTTCCTTCCTCCCTTACTTCATTGTTCTCTTTTTCATCTTTTATTTTGAAAAAGAGATTAGAATGGATTTAAATTTGCCCCCATAATAAAATCACTTCCATTTCTCCGCATTCAGTATGTTTTCTAGAGTGTGGTAGACGTATGGGGGAGAGGGGGAGAAGGATTTTATTGCCTAAATCATAGCAAAGAGAAGGTTGATAATTTTTTTGTTTTACACTAGGAGAAATATTTTTAAAAGAAAGTCTGGTTTTCTCTTTTTTCCTCCAAATTTATTTGTGAAAGCTTTAATTCACAAAGAAAGAATTACTGCTATGATAATTTATAAGGTGGTATCATCATGTTGTTTGTGAGAGCAGTTTCTTGAAGACAATGAGGAAGGACAAGATAGAAGCTGGAGACAGAAATGGTTTAGATTTACTTGACAATCTTGACCATAAGTCCTTGCAGAGGTGAACAGAACAGGTGGCTAGAAGGTGATGTTATTTGAACTTATATAAGAGCAAAGTCAAACCACTCAAAGTGAGATTAGAAACAATAATAGGTAAGAAATTTTGAGGAACAATATAGGGGAATAAATTAGCAAAAGACAAATAATTATTTTACATAAAAATTTGAAGTTCTATCAAAGGCATAGGTGTCAAAAATAAACACACTAACATGCATTTTGATGGAATGAGAGAAAATATTAATGTGTATGAAAGTTAAAAAAACACCTCTTGGCTTTAATTCTTGACTTTAGCTCTGTTAACTGTCAGGGAAATTGTGTGTGCATGTGTGTGTGAATAAAAGAAAGAATAAACAAATATTTCGTGAATATTGAGGAATTCAGTGAAATCAGTGAAAAGGAATGCAAAAGATTATAATTCTATTAGAAGTGAAACATCAAGCTTGAAGGATCTAAAGAAGTATATGTAGGTGATGCTGGAAAATGGAGAAATGGTAAATGATAAAAACAATGTAGACTGAAGTTTACATGCCTGGAGAGTTTGGATTCCAGTTCCCACTCTGACATGAACTGACTCAATGACGTTGGTCAAGGTTAGGAACCTTAATTTTATCATCTGTCAAGTGCAGAAAATAATAGCATTGACCTCAGAGGATTCATTGGAGGATGAAATACACCAATGCATTTTCAGTACATAACAGTATTTAATAAATATTAGCTAGAAAAATAAAAATAAATGCTACATGGCAGAAATAGCATTTGGTTACTTTGAGTGAGAATAAAGGAAAAAGTCAAATGACACTGGGTTAGCTCTCCCAGAATAGAGAAGAGATGGACATTTATGTGGTCGAAATAGGAAGGATTACTTTGAATTTGTGATAAGCCTCAGGGTCAGGGACCTTGAATAATTTAAACATCAGTGAATGCCAATCTGGAAACTGGAAAAAGTAACAATATCTGGCCAAAAGAACAAAGTATGTGGTAGGAAAATTTATAAAACAGAAAATCTAGAAAATGGCAAAATGGAATATAGAAAGTAGGTGGCAGTGAAGAAATAGAGGGAAGAATGAGCAAGAATGGATTCCTCAAAGAAGTCAGAGAAAGAAAAATGAGAAGGAAATGTCTTTGCCTGGTGTGACTGAGGCCATTGCTAAGGATGAAGAGACCAGAAATCTTGTATCTGGGGATAGAACAAAGGAGATGGATAGGAGGTTTCTGTGTCTCCTGAACCAGAGGTCTTGGCTACCTGGAATGTGTCCTTAAATTCTCCTTGACATTTTTGTGCATACGATGCCCACAACACAGCTATAACTTAGGTGAAAATATCTGTGCACTGATCAGATTCACAAACAACTTTCTAGGTTGGGAGTGGTCAGAGGAGGAAATGAGTTATCACTGCTGTATTTCAATGAGTAAGGATACCAAACTGTTTATAATTCACTAGAGATTGCAAAATGCAGTGACTTTTCATGTTCAGAGGAGATGGTAGGGTGCGAGGGAAATGCTTTGGTTTCTTCTTCCAAGAACCAACATCCAGGAAGGTTAAAGCCAGGTAAACTTGTTTTGCTGGCATTGTGTGGCGTTAGCTCAGTTAAGGAAGGTACCTGTAAATATAAACAGTTACGTCTGTGCCATGTCTACAGTTTAAGTGGAGATGAAGAAGTTGAAGTTTCAAGAGTACAGTATTAGAAATAGAAATATTAAATAGGATTGTACTTAAATGCATTACCATGAGACTTTAGTTATCCAGTGTTCACTCTAGAAGAGTAAAAAGTGTTATAACACTGCTACCCAATAGCTAAGGTCTTACTCTCTTAGTTTACTTGTTTTGTGGTATGTTGTTTTGATCAGTGTCTCATTCTGCTTCCCAGACTGGAGTGCAGTGACACAATCATAGCTCACGGCAGCCTCGACCTTCTGGGCTCAGGCAATCTTTCTATCTCAACCTTCTGAGTAGCTGGGGATACAGGCACATGCCGTCATGCCCAGCAATTTTTTTTTTTTTTTTGTAGAAATGAGTCTTGCTATATTTCCCAGGCTGGTCTCAGCCTCCCAAAGTGCTGGGATTACAGGGGTGAGTCACCATGCCTGGCCTCCTAATTTACTTCAAATAAATATTTAAACATTTTTTTCCTCCAACATACATGAGGCATAATGTCAGTGACTTACATAGCAGCATAATTTAACTTTTCTCAATGATTAAGGCCCGTTGTGATAAACGTGATTATTCACTGTGCAAAAATGCGATGATGTCTTATATGTATAGAGCTGTTTGGACCTAGGATAAATGACGAAGTGTCTGCTGTGCTTTGTCAATTGTATTCTTTGCTTCGGAGGTATTTGGTCTTCTCCCTTTCTCTTGCAGGATTCATGCTTTTCTTCCTAACATCCTGTTTACTTCCCTACTTCTTATTTCCTGTGTGCTGGGAAATAACACAATGGGGCTTTAGCATGAGGAAAGTTAAGTAGATCCTGAGTGAAAAGAATTTATAAGATTAAGTAGAATTTATTTTGGGTGTGCAAAACTTTTTACTGGTTCTTGTTGAGTTCTGGATGAGCCTGTGGCATGTCCCACTATAGGGCTTATTCTGACTTGTTGAAGGAGTCATCCACATGGACCAGCTGGGGGTTTTCATTCTTTTATTAAAAAATAATTTATAGAATCATTATACTAGGTAACAGGACTATATAATCATCTATTGTTTCAAGATAAATAAGATTTCCGTAAAATCACCGAAAAATGTCACTTGGAGCTTTTAGATTAGGCCTTATTGTTTTAGCCAACAGAAGAGAATCAATTTCAACAGCCAAACCACCCAGCATCACACATACTTTTTCTGTCTTCGAAAGGGATTATGTATGTGGCATTCCGTTGAGGTGCAAGACTCTTCTGTGTTGTTAAAAATGTCATGTAAAAGCTGTTTAATGGCGGTCAACCCCAATGTTTAATTTAGTTTGTTTCCTTCAGTTTAAATAGGTGTTAGTGTTTCTAATTCTCACTTCTGTGTACCTGCATCCAGGTCAGACTAAATTGAAGTCTAAAAGGCCCTTATGTTGTTATATTGTGGTTCACAGATTAACTAAACCCGAATAGCACTTGCCATTCTTTGCTCTTTTATAGAAGACTTTTCTGAGACTTCTGGAGAAATTGGCACCAGTTGAGATGAGGCAGCAGGTTCCTAATTGCTCACTAGGCACTAGATCAATCCAGTGGTTACATTTCTACACTTGGTGTTTCTCTCCTCTGCGTACAGTAGCTTGGAATGAACAGAGCTGATTGCCTACTGTACAGCATTTAATCAGCACACTTTGCATTAACACCTGGGCGGTTTGCAGAAATGCACACCTTTCATGGGAAATGAGGAATTGTGAGGTAAGGAAAAAAAGACATTTGTCTATTCAACTTTCAGCATTAAAAATCTCGGTCTAGTCACATTAATGCTTCATCTTATTTCTATTTAGCTTTTTTTTTTCTCCAGTGCTAGTTCAGACTGGCACAGGATGAATTGGGCAAACATTGCAATTTAGATTACGCTGTGGGAAGTGGAGAAACCATTTTCTGTTTATTTTATGGTAAGGTAAGCATAATTTTAAAAAAGCTGCTGTAGGCTTTTTTTTTTTTTCCTTTTAATGCCAGTAGCAGTAAAGCAAATTTATGAATTCTTCCTTAGGTTTTATACTGAGAAAAAGTTTGCCCAAAGAACTGGCTGTATTTGATGATGTTGGCCATTGTCTCACTATAGATTCTAATATTTGATGGACAGTTTGATTTCATGATTATACCCAGAGCTCCTCATCATTACAAATAAAGTAGTAGGTTTTTTTTTTTCGGATACCAACAGGATAAACTTCCTCAGCTGCAGCTTGTGGCTTGGAGAATATTCCTTTTTTGGAAAACTTTGAATCTTTTCCCAGAGATAAACAGCAATTATGCAACTCCCTGTTAACTGAGTTAGATTTAAAAACACAAACACAAAATATAACCCCCAAATTCCAACTGCTGAGCAGTTGTGCAGAAAGGTGTGGGAAGACACTTAGCCTCCCTTGTTAAATTCTTTGGTCATACTTTAAGATCAACAGCAGATCAGATGGACATTCAGAATGCCATGGGCTCCCGAAAAGAGTAATCCGAGGTGACTACAGTGGTGAGAGGTGCAGATAATCTTACCTCAGGTCCATGTCGCCATCGACCCAATAGGCCAAGATGTTGGACGCAGTTCCTCCAGGGCAGCAACCCATAATAAGCACCACCACAGCCTGGACGGGGAGGATGTCAAAGGCCACTGACAGGATGAATCCTGTGAGTGGCATGATTCCAAACTGACAGAGGAAACCAACACAGATGCCCCATGGTCGCTTGATGTGTGCGAGAAATTTCTTGATTTCCACGTTGCAGCCCATGGAGAACATCACCAAGGCTAACAGGGTGGTCAGCACAGCACTCAGGACCACACTTAGGATGGCATTGAAATCGCTGTCATCTCTGTCAGGCACCACACAGGACTCACCATAGCAAACCGTAGCATTGCCCGAACAGCCTGTCAGATTTTTATTCATTGCTGGGCCTGCTGCTCAAAAGTCCGAGTCCACAGAAGCCCTGGGCCCTGGGTCCTAGACAGTCGAGATAAGTAATGTTACTCCAACCACGCAAACTTTTAAACCCTTCCTAAACATGTGTCACTTGGTCCCGCTTTCAAAAGCCACCTTAGAGAGGCAATAAAAAACAATAAATGCTAGATGTCAGTTTCGAGAGGCAACATTACGACACAGAGCACGTTATGAATCATAAAAGTCCGGCAAAATTATTGGTCCAGACAGAGAGTTTTAATTAATCATTTATTGGCATGATAATGAACCATGCCATATAAAAAGAGCTGTGTTAATGTTTAATGCCACAAAGGTTTGTTGAATAATTTCAGCGAAGTGATACTTAAAAAATCAACTCCAAATATTATAGAGCATTGTAGAGATTGAACCATAAGAGAACATATTGTTCCCTCATCTCCCTTTAAATAGAAGGACTTGGGGCCCTGAAAAGCCGAGTGCCCTGTGCCAAGTTATGTCGCAAATTAGGTGTCAGACTGAACAGTTTCCTCCCCCAACAGTTTTCCTACTTTATCAATGTTTCCTTGTATGGCTTTATGTTCATAAAGTATATGTAAGTTTGAGAAACTTCTAGGGCCTTGGTGCAAAACGATAGGAGAGTGCTCAGAAGGATAGAATGAATGTTTTCTGGTAGGAAAGAGTCTGATTTGCACAGCCACCCTCAATTACTTACACATGCAATTATGTATGTGTTGCCATAGCAACAAAGTGCTTTATAGATAGAGAGACAATACAATTATTTAGAGGGATCAACCTCGGAGGATTAGGTCAAAGTGACAGGATTTTTGTGCCTGGAGTCAAGGATTAAAATTAGTTTTTTTTTTGGGGGGGGCGGGAAGTGTGAAGGGATTCCAAGGGTGAGTTTTGTGGATGTCAAATACTCAACCTCATTATGAGCAGAATGCGGTATTTAGGTGTATAGGGAAGATTAAAAAAGAGGTAGGGGAGATATTGTCCTGTTTTCAGGAATTTATAGCTCAATTATTGAGTCAGGGCAGAGTATGAAAATAAAATGGAATATTTCTATCATGATTCACAATTTGTAGGACAGATTCTGACTTATTCCCAATGTAATCACCTCAAATTATGTAGAATCAGCATCTCCATTTTACATATGGAGACTTTCGGTGGAGGAACTCAAGTGTTTTCTTCAAGGTTATTCAGCTGGTAATTGGAAATACTGGCACTCAGTTTTTTGACTATGGGCAGGAAATAGTTGGTTTGGCTTGGTGGGGATTTGAAGCACCATCTTAGAACAGAGTTTCTCAAAACTCAGTGCTTGTAGGAATTCCCCGGGGGCAGGGGGGTTAAAGTGCAGATTCTGATTCTGCAGGTCTCGGCTGGGCTTTTCTTTCTAACAAGCTCACAGTCGCTGGTGGTGATGACATTGATTAGGTGATGACACTTGATACTTTCAGTATCAAGGCTTTAGATCATCAGGGTGACAGCAATTGTACCCAAACTGGTCACAGCTGAGAGCATTTTCAGAGCAACTCAATATGAGATAATTAACCTCTTTCATAAGTTGATTAACCATGAGCTGTGGCCAGCAGAGTAGGCTGGCAGGCAAAGGAGTTAATAGAGTTAAACGTTCTAGCTGTGGGGGCCCTGGGAATGATGTCCCTTTAATCTGGGATTGAGTTATTGGGAAAATCCTGAGCCATTTCCTTACGGGGTGACAGTGATTCGTACCTTTTGTTGATGATGTGGCTTCTGTCCCAGGAGAGTACTTCAGCTGTCATGTTCCACTGCCTGCCTCTTCTAGCACAAATGGGCTGCCATTAGCTCTGACCTGGCTGCCTGCCAACTCCTGGGAGCTCCTCCTGTCTTTCCAGTCTCCTTCTCCACCCCAACAGCTTACCGATAAGCTAGGTTATTCCCAAAGAGTCCTGTCCTGCCACTCCTAGGTGTGACTTGGCCCTACCCTGCTGGCTTCTCCAAGCATCTCCTGGAACTGACCTCTGGCCCACTTCTGCCAGGGCAGATAAACCAAGTGCGCCCCCTGCTGCTGTACCCGAACCTGCGCATGGGCACCTGAACACCTTCACCTGGGCATCGTACACACCCGGACAGCTGCACCTGGACAGCCGCACCTGGGCACCTGTTGCTCTGGTTCTTCTCCCCCAAGGCTGGGGGAGGCAGACACACCTGTGTAGTGCTTATCAGTTTTATTCTCTCTCCTCTCCTTTCTCTTAATCTCAAACATGAAGCGAAAGTCAGAAAGCTAGCCTAGGACCTACCAGCAAACGGCCTCTTCATTTCACCACGTCTGGTCTGCAAAGGGAAATTTAAACCCTGTGGATGGAAGGATCTGGATTTTGAAATTTCTCTTAAATGTGAAAGGTTGCAGTGCGGCTCAACACACCGAACTCAAGACAAGCATATTTAGACACCCTTCTTTGAACTCCAACGGGTTTCCCAGGGCGAGTGTGTGTTGGGGACATGCTTGTTTCTGGGTTGGCCAGGTGTAATCCACACTTAGGCTTTGTGCCCACAGTGCTGGAAGCAGAGAAGAAAAAGTGAAGAGAGCAGAAAGCAGGTTCAGAACAAAGCTCTGCTCAAATTTCAGATGACTTGCTAAGGAGATTTTAGGCTCCCAGAGGCAGAATGTTTTGCATATAGACAACTTGCAAATGAGCAGTCTGTTTGGATAGACAGAGTGCTACAGTTCTGGTTAAAAAAAAAAGTGCCAATGCATTTCTAATTTTCACATTGTTTTTACATAAATTTGCACATGAGGCTCGAGAGGTTTTATATTCAAGAATTGGAATGAATGATTCACAATTAATTAGTGCCCTTAACTTCAGCTCCATTTAAATCCAGGCATTGAAAGTATCTAAAAATTGTTCTGTTTAACTACATTACAGAATCAGGGGACAGATGTGCACGAGGGATAGTCAGGAGGTTGGATCTTGATTTTCCTTGTCATCTTTTTCAATCGTGTCTGCTCAGTTTCTTTATGCACTAGGCTCAGATACAGGGGAGACTCAAGAAACCGGCCGCGGATTCCCACTTATGTCTGAGGGTGGAGACAAGTGGATTCTGGTTTAATTCGACTTCTGAGGCTTCCCTTTGGTTCTCACGTGGGAAAGTCAGGGTTTATTAACTTTCTAACATGTCTGCCCTGAAGTTCACACGATGCAGAAATGAACTTTCTATTTTCGATTGTTTCATCGAGGAGGGCTCTATTCAGATCAATGGGCATCTGGGAATTTGAATGACTCTATTAAGTACTTTCCTGTGACTGAAATTCTCTCCGTCTCTCTACGTTCCAGTTCCTTCCTACAGACTGATCTTTTATAAAATCCAAAAGTCCCACAGTTAGAGTCATTTGGAGTTGCCACTGACCCTCTTTGAGGCCAAACAACAAACCAACCCTGGGGAGAATGGCCCAGAAGAAATTCGTTAATCATTTGTGAGCAGTTAAAGGAAAAAGACAGCAAATATTGATGAAGGGGAGGTAGGAGGGAAGGATCAATCTACTAGACAGAAAACTCACTAGACTTGGAATGAGAAAAGCTGGGTTCTAGATCCGCATCTTTGGAAAATACTGTGCAGACTGTTAAGGCTTTCAGACATGAATGTGAATTCTAACTACAAGTCTACAAGACTTAACTGTCACTTTGGAAAACAATTATAGCTAAATGTACACATGCCTTATGATCCTGTCATCCTAGTCCTAGGTATCAATCTAAAGAAATCTATAAATGGAGTTTCCCCGAAGACATGAACTAGAATATTCATAGTGGCTCCATTCATAATAGCACCAAACTGGAAATGATTCAAACTATCTAGGGCAAACAAATAAGTTATGCTATATTCACACCAGGGGCTTCTATCCATCAGTGAGGATGAATCATCAACTGCCACAAATCTAATGTTGAGTGAAAGAAGCCAGTCCCCGAAAGGGCACATGCAACAACAGACAAAGCTTACTAACCTGTGGTTTCAGAAGTCAGGGTCGTTATTAACGTTGCAGTATGGAAGATCAGTGAGGAAAAGGGGTCACATACTTCAATATAATGTACAAAACAAAACAAAACAAAAACCCCAGTGCATTTGAGAAGAAGAAACTGGAGAAAGATATATGCCCAGGCCTCCGGAAGGCAGGAGATAACGCCACTCTTGAGAAGAAGTCATGGGAGGATAAGGCAGGGAGTAGAGATGGGAGGTAAAGGGGTGGAGGAGATATGGGTCAGAGGCAAATAGGATAGATATTTCACCTTCATCATTTCTCCAAGAGTTGACTCTGCTAAGCACCCTATGTCTCAGTCATGTTGTTGCGATTGATTAAACATTTTCTAAATGGTCTGAAAATATTAAACTCGGTGAATCTGTAGTTAAGTACTTTTTGGTTAATCAGTTCTAGACACACCTTCAAGCAAATCCTCTTGATAGAAGGCAACTTCTGCATGCTTTCTGGTTCATTAGTAGCATACGATCTTAAAGTAGAACATTAATCATGTATTTTGCTAATATCTCCTGTTGTCTCTTGCAAACTTGACAAAAAATGTTTGCCTACATTTTTTTGCTTTGCTTTTAGAATGGGTGGATGAATAGCAAATTTCTAAAAATCTATGACCTATCTTATGGTAGATTGTATTATTGCTCTCAGTTCATTGCTTCCCACTTCTCTGTAATAAGATTTTACAGCCACACCTGGTAAAATGGACATGCAGCTCTACCCTGCTGAAGAAACAGCCAGTTGCGAAGTATGGGTGTTAAGTCACAGGAATTGCTTTGTCCATGTAAATAACAGTGATAGGGATGGTATATCACCTTCAAGCAGAAACTCTCAACTCTCAACATTGTTGTGCACATTTTCCTCACTCTTTCTTTTTGCATGGGAATGGCAAATCCCAGCTCAGAGCTGTTTCTTCATCTGTTCCCACAAGGAGAAAACACAAGGAGTATAACTGCGGTGGTCATGGCCAACATGAGTTTGTGTAGTAAGCCACAGAGATCTTGGCAGCTCTGTCATGTAATGGAAATCTAGTAAAAGCTGA